TACTAATGTACTTCTCCATAGAAAGAAGTGTATAAACCCGTCATAGCTCAGGCTTAAGGAAAAATCCTAGTTCAATCCTTGACATTGTCAGAACTGCCACCACCCCCACACACGCCATGCTTTGCTTGTTGCCAGTCTGTCTTTCTCGGGGTGGGGGAAAGAAACTGTGGAGTGGAATAAGGCAGGAAATTAGTAGGAGAGGAATTGAAACTAAGCATTGTGCCATCCCATGAGAGACATTGGCAGTTCCAAGGTCACACTATGGAATGCAGCACCATCCAGCCTGTGAAGACAAAAACTGCTACCCAAAATTTATTTGAATCCAATTGGACACTTAAAGATAACTAAGGGGCAAGGTGGGAGAAAGGGAAAAGTGAACTATATGCTTTGTCCACAAAAATCTCAGATCCAGTTTTGCAATTCTGTAATCACTTGGCTTTAGTAAAGTATAGTTTCACTAATAATGAATTCAAGAGTCTTTCTTTTTTAACTGACCAAGTTGGAACGGTTGACAGATATCTTTGGATAATGTTGGACATCTTCCTTTTATAAACCCTAGAGAGCTACCACAGCCAATGTTTGTTCCTACTCACTAAAAGGCGCCTTTCTGAGATTTATTGTTAATTTACCAGTTCATAATGGGTTGATGAAGAGCAGACTCACTTAGATTTTCATTCATACATGAGCACAATTCTTATATACCCTTTGAATTTTAAAAACCTTATTGCAATAATAATTCAACGACTTGGAATACTAGAAAGCTTTTCTCTCCTTCCAAATTACTTGTACCATATTTTCAATGTCTGTTATTTATCTTTTCAGTGGAAAGAGCAAGAGGAACCTGTTAATATTGTACATGAAGTATAAGGGATGTAATATTGGAGCAGGAATACAGCCATTAGGGTGTAAGCAAACCATCTGTCAGCTTTGCTGCTGTCTAGCAATAATGTATTTAGAGATTTGGAGGGATTGAAATGGACTGAATTAATGAATGTCCTTATTTCTATGTAGGGGATGGATAGGAATTAATATGAGGAGAAAAAAATACTTAGCAAAAGTATTTTTTTTTATTCATTTAGATGAATGAAAATCTTTCTTGACTGTTTTCACTCAGCTGCAACATAAAGACATTAGCCTGTTCAAAAGAAGAAACCAGAGCCACTTCTGTAATAAAAGAATATTTTTAACATTGTTTTGAGAATGTTGAATTTTCCTCAAAAGGATGGAATTTTCCATGCAGTGGAAAACCATAAACGAAGGAACAAGTTGGTTCTTCCTCACAAAGGATTTCTAGAAGCTAAACGTAATTGCTACCAACTTTTCTGTATTCCAAATGGCCAGTCTACAGCAAGGATTAGCAACATACAGTCCTAGGATGGCATGCATAAAGTCTTTGGCTCATTCCTTGTGGTTCTTGGCTTAATTTCAAAGTTCATATCAAAACACATTGATTTATAGTTAATTGTACCATTGAAATAGTTGGATGTCATTTAGAGAATGTACAACAAAGAAAGCAAATATTTGTATGCTACTGGTTTTAATAGGAGAATTTTAAAAGGTTTTTCTATCATTCATGAATGCCAAGCTTCAGGCATTGTTTATTTTCCCCTTCCTCAGCCTGGAAAGGGAGTGTCAGAAAGAAAAATATGAAAAGTTAAGAAAAGGGGGGAAAGGATATTAGAGAATTTTAAGCAATCCTGTAAAGAAAATTGAAAATTAAAATCTATGGAAACTTCAATTTATATTTATTGAAATAGGAATGTAAGATCTGTTGTAAGCCTCACCCTATTAAATATTATTGTATACAACAGGTTATAGCCAGACCCTTAAAATATGGAAAAATCTAAGTTTGCAGAACATCTTTTTCATTTACATCCAAGTATCTGTGCATTACAAAAACAATGGAATTCTATTGGGCAGAACAGAAGAGAAATACTTTCAATTAAAAAAACCCTTCTCTAACCAATTATTTCTCATTTCTTGCTTTGAGATATAAAGACAAAATTTTAGAAGGCAGAGGGGGGGAAATGCAGCTTTTGTCTTTTTTTACCTTTAGCTAGCAAGCTTACTATGAAATCCCAACAAGCTTACTATGAATCTCATAGCACTAGCCAGGTTATTCCAATTGATGAAAAGCAAGTGTAGGGTAGCAGTGTTAAATTGCATGTTATAAAAGTGAATATTGTTAAACCTGGCCAGCATTCTCCCTCCATGCTTATTTCTGATAATTAGCAAAGGGCTTTCAAATAATGAAACCTTGCAAGCACCAATGAATTAGAAATGGTTTATAGCATTCACATTTTTATGTCAAATTATTACCAAATCATTGGAGAAATGTATAGGAAAACCTAAACAGAAATAGTAGCATGTTCCTTACAACATATTTTGGTTGTTCTTGTAATCTTGTAATTTTTGTTTTGCTTTTACTCTTCTTTATACTCAGCATACCATTGACATTTTAAAGAAACCACTATTAGAAATTAAATATATATTATATTAATTTATTTATTTCTATCCAAATGTTCAGTGGAACTAAATAGGATCATCCATCCTAGCCCAGATTTGCTTTCCTTTTGTAAAGTTGTTACATGCATTCTGATCATTACAACTGACCAAGAGCCATGCAAGTTATGTATATTAACTGCAGATTAAGAAAAATAAAAATATTAAGGAAAATGTCAGTTCTTAAATTTTTTGGAAACAATTCAAATTTGAAAATTTTCAAATCTGAACTAACCATGTCCAGTTTCAAATTCCTTTTGATTTCTTGGATGATGGTGAGAAATGGAAGATGGAAGCCTGGACTGGTAAAAACTACAACTTTGTTAATGTAAAGATCAAACTATAAGAGAAATAGTTTGCACCCTTGCTTAACCCACTTATGAGCATGGATACCACCAAAATCAGTGTCTTTAATCTGCAGCATGGAATCAAAGTGTAACTAGATAATTAAATTAAGTAGACAACAATCTATCAATATGTTAGCTTGTTTCCGCCAAAGCTTTTCTTGGGGAATGGAATAAAAAACTGTCTTTAAGTCAATAAAAGCCACAAAAAGAATTCTATTTGGAAGTTTATAGCATTTTTCTGCCAAATGATATAACTTTAGGTACTGATTTAATGTCAAATGTCCATCACTAAATTCTCTGTACCCAATCTCTCAAAACAAAAATTGAAATTAAAAAGAAAGAATAAAAAATTACTTATGCCCACTTCATTCAGTACTGGGTTGGTAATGGAGACTAAATGCATTTCCATATGAATTTTCCTATGAATTCCTGAGCATTGTTCTGTACTCTTCAATTTTATCTGAAAAAAAGAGCAAATATAGCAAACTACAGACCTATCTGGAAAGCCTCAATTTTCATTCTGATTAAATTAAAGCTATAGCACTTCAGTCTTTCTGCATATATTGTAAAATGTCAGTGAGAAAATTAAGTTAAATGAACCATTCTATATGACTCTTATCAGTGGAAACGTTTTTCCATACAGAGAGCACTACATTTTTCAAGTCTTCTTCCTACTGTGTGATGTGGTATTTTCCAGTTTGTGACATATAGTATGCTTTAATTTGGTGATAGATGGCAGGTATTTGATAGGTTAGGAAACATCTGTAGCATCAATTTATGTCATTCCTCACTTTTTCCCTTTGATTTACCCTTTATTTGGATATCCCTTGTTGGTCGATGTCTCTTACTAATATATATCTATATAGATCACCAGAGAAACAAGGCAGGACAAATGCAATAATTCAAACAAGGCCTTGGGTTGCTTATGAGTCAGTCTGATTTTGAAATGGAATTCTGGATATAAGGTTCTTAAAGGATCACCCATGCCCATACTAATCATATCCAGCCAACCTTAGTTTCAACAGTCCTTCAGTAACCCTACCCCTCCTTTCAGAACATGCTCTGGGGCTTATGTAGCTACATTTATGAAAATAAATAAATAAATTAAGCAATAAAATAAAATATGCAATCATAATATTGCCCAAGGAAATGATATATGGAAAAAATCACATTATCAAATTATTGTTCTTGATTTCATTTGCTCATTTATATTTTAAAGACTCTGAACATTTTTCTATTTCAAAAATTTTTTTTTTCAAAAAGCTTCAAAGGATGTTGAACTGATATATAACTTGCATATTGTCAATTCAGTAATTTAGTACACTTGGCACATGCAAAAATGTCTGAATTTTAATCTTACTTAAATATTTCCACTTCTTTTATACAATGTAGATGAAGGCTACAACTGCAGCCATAACATTTTCTCTTTTCCAATTTGTTAATGTTGCTACTATCACTTGTTTCTTAATGTGAACAGTTAATATCATGAAGAAATATTATGTAACTCTGCAAATTGCACTATTTTTAAAGAAGTCATTAAGTCTGTGCTAAGATCATGATAAATGATGGTGGTGGGAGAAACAATTGCTCGTGTGTGGAAGGGATTTTCAGTTTGAACGTTCTAGATTTGACAGTAACACAGATGCACATGTTGGAAATGTTGCTTCACACATTTCTTGTTTCTGTGATGGGATTGCTGTGTACATCTTTGTCTCCATCAGAGTGGTGCCTAACTCTTCTAGGGGTTGGACTTTTCTATTTCAACCTGTCCTCCCTACAGTCAACTCTTTGCGAGGTCATTCCAATGAGAACAAAGCAGAGGGTGCTCAAACAAGGTTGACATCTCTCCCTATCTCTCTTTTGTGTGTTCTAAAGAGAACTGGTGCTGAATTTAATCTGCATCTGCCAGAGCTTGCTTGCTTATTATTCATTCGTTCGTTCGTTCGTTCATTCATTCATGTAACCTATTTATATGATTAGCCATATCATAAAAACGTGACTTTATTAGGGCGTCAGCAGAAAAAAAAAAAAAAGTACACGTGCATTCAAGAAATCGAGCTTGAAAGACCCCTGTAATCACAAGGGCCTGAAGAGGACGCTCATTGCGAAAGCTCGGGAAGGAGGAATCAGTACCGCGGACAGCTCCCCACGGAGCCCTCATTAGCCTTGAATCTGCGAAGCAGCAGCACCGCTTGGTTCCCCCGTCTCCGCTCTCTTCCCGGGTCGAAAAAAAAAAAAAAAGGGTGGTGGGGGGTGGAATGCGTCCAGATCCAGGCTGCTGCATACATCATCTAGACCACGCGCATCAAGCGTCCAAGTCGGTACCGCAAAGCAAAGAACCTCCTTTATTGGATCTCCAACTGAGGTGAAAAGCACGCCCTGTCCTGGGGCACGTGACCTTGTGGACTGTGGATATCTCTGGCTGCTAAAGAACAAAGAAAAGTTTCAGCGGAGGGGGGAGAGCATTCCTTGTCTCCCCACCTCAGAGAAGGCGAATGTCTGGTTTTAGTAGCTGAACTGGTAGGAATGATGATCGAGAGAGGATGTGTACCAGCAGCCAGATCATCGGGAGCCTCCTGGTGCTATCCATGCTGGAGATAGGGCTGGGAGTCTCTAGCGTGGCAGTAGGGGCAGTCAGCTTCAGCTTCGTTCTTGCGGGTTCTGAGCGTTCAACTCAGCTGGGAGACTCTTCTCCGGTATGGAGCGGGGTGTGTGTACGTTAGCTATTTCACTCTCTTTAACTCTTGATGGTGAATGCCGATTTGCAGTCTGGTCTTGAATTCTCCTTGTTTTGTGCAGCTCTCCTTTCTTTCTTCTCCCTTGCTTTTTTTTTTTTTTTTTTAGCTTGCATGCTTTATGTGGTTTTGACCTGCATGATCCAAGTGTAGAAGCTGCATCTCTAATTCCTTTGGTGCATTTTAGAACAAAACCTGAACTTTATTTGAGTAAGCCAACAGTCCCCTCCCTGCAAAGCCACAAAACACTGGGGCCCACATACCGCAGGGCCAGAAAATTGGGGATGCCAAACTCTAAAGATTTCACTAGCAATTCAACAGGCAACTTTACATTTGGGAGAGTTCATTTTTCATTCTGGCATCTTATTGTTGATCGATTTCTTGATAAGAAAAGCAAATAAAATGCTGATGTTTACATTGTAGTCAGTTTCATTGTATTCAATTTCATGAGCTGAACAGGTAACCATAGTCTTAAATTCCTTCTTTAAGGAGTAAAGTAATCTATAAATTCCAATGGTTTTTATCTCTGTATAAGCAAAGAATATTCAATTTCCATACATATTACTGATGATTTAAATTTAATTTAGTACTCAATTACTAAAGTACTAAAAACCATGTGGATAAAGTAAGATTTAAATATGCTTAATTTTCTAGATATTGCTCAGTATTGCTTAAGGTAACAGTGATGACAATAATCATTAAACATTCTTATTGAAACTTCAGTGGAACTTTTATCCGGAAGGGGAGGGATAAGCTGATTGAAGAATTTACTTCCCAGTTCTATTTCCTGTAAATCATAACATGAAATTCACAATTTTAGTTTTAATTTGCTAGAACAAAATAAAAAGAGATATGATGGTTTCATAATCTGAACTGTTTTTTAAAGGCAACCAAAATGGAAATAAATGGAAATTTATTTGTTAAATTTCTACTTCTTTGATAGAATGAAAAATAATGCAGCAATGCTTATGGGTGCCTATATTCTCTTATTTTAAACTGAATTTTTTGTGTGCTTTTGTTTTATTTAAATGTGCTCTTTTGTACAACTTCATACAATTACTGATGCTTATAATAATGGAAAATAGTAACATCTAGATTAATTTTGTGGAGCAATAAAAGTATCTAAAGATAGTTGTGATCACTAGGACTCACGTCTTCATTTTTAGATTGTATCAAGTGTTTTTGTGCAGCTGTACTGGGAAGCGTTCAGCCACCTGCAAGGGCAACCAAGATGGCTGTTGGGATTGCATCCTTTTTACTTTTTTAAGTTCCCCCACTTTGGGCACAAATATTGCCCTGCTAATATTGTCCTATTAATACTGTTCTATTGAATTTGTAGTTTTAAAATTTAATCCTGCATCTATTATGCTACTATATAGTTTAAAAAAGATATTCCACTTTTTTTCCTCTCTACATTTATCTCTGTGCATATACATGTGTGCAGAATTGTGTGTCTCATACATGAGCAGCATGTGTATTGTTAAACCATATTCATTTCCACTGCAAAATAGTTTTTTGTTAATGACCTGTATATATCCTTCTGTATGAATACTGTATTCTTAATAAGGGGAAGAAAAAGAAGTGTGACTACCAGATGGTCTGTAAATTTAGCATTTTCACCAAAGCTGGTGTTCTTATGGATCTCCAGCTTTTATCTTTTAAATTGTCATTTTCAGGGAGTTTAGGAAATTGCCACTCTCTATATTGTACTAAAGTATTCTTAGCATTGCTGCAGAGGTAAAGTTCCAGTAGTTGCTCGGGACAAGAAAGGATGCTGAGTTTGTTTACATAATTAAATATCCCCTAATCTCTGGCTTCTAAAAGACTGGTTAATGTAACACCTTCATATGAATGGCTAGTGAGAACCAAACCATTAGTCTGACTTTTTGTGACCTTAGTATAAAACCAATGATTTTATAACTAGCTTCATATTACACTTTAACCTGTAATTTAGTTTGTATAATTTCATGTGTAAGGCATCCTTATATTGTGATTTCATATAATATGCTAAGCCACCCTAATTTGTAAACAGAAATGACTAGGTTCAAACAATAGATAATTCTGATCTTAATCTACTGTCTATAGTCTAGGAATTTAGTTCATTAATCTGGTTAGTCAAAGCTTGATTCAAATAATAGGCTTGTTAGCCAGTGCTAGGATTTCAACTATGATAGACTCAGTTAACAAAAGTAGGATGAAGCAAAAATCCATAAATGAGTAACTTCTGAGGCATCAGTATTATGGCAAAGCTAATTTGCATCCACTCATTTTCTAAAAATAACATGAAAATGCAAAGACCTTTGACCCATTTCAGTTTTCAAATAGCTACAGCTAGATAGAAGCCCAGTTTCACACCTAAGGGGCTAGCGGGAAGGTTACTATGGAAACCTTAACTCTGAATACCCTATTTTACATAGATGGAAATAATCTATATCTCAATTTCATCTACTTCCTTACAAACCACAATGATCCTCTGAAACTATCATATAACATGTTTTCTTATTTATCTGCATTACAGCTTCCTTACCAGTCTTACAAATTGCTTTAGCAAACTCCACGTGATATAATCCAAAGACCCAGAACAGAATTATAAAATACTAAATAACGATTTAATAAACCATCACAACCTGTAAATGTTAAAGAGCTCACTTTAGAATTGTTAATATAAAATCTAAATCCACTTCGCTAAATGTGAATTAAAAAAATATTTCAGACATGTTTTTCAACGACAGAGAGATAAATCAAGGTGGAAAGAGAGGTTGTTGTTTTTTTAGCATGGTCGTTGTTCAGTCGCTAAGTCATGTCACAACCCATGGACCACAGCACATCAAGCATGGTTCTTATTTACTGTTATAAAAATGATTCTTAGCAATAATAACAACAGGATAGACAAAAGCAACCATATAGCACGAAGGTATTCCGATTCTCAGTGTTATACTGATGTTTTCAAAACTCTTCATTAATTAATTTTGATTAATTAATTTAATCAAACTATTTTTTCAAATAATTAATATTCTTAAATAGAAATTAATGAAACTGTTCAATTATGCACAAAAACTAATGGCATACAATTAACAAAGTCTTAACAAATGTGAATAACATATCTTATTAGACTATGAATATTCAAACTACTGGACAGAACAATCTCTGACAGTAGGGATATAACTCGACTATTTAGAAATCTTAATTCTAAAAGCAAAAGAATCAAGGGTTTTGTTATCAATAAATAGAATCATATTTATTTATATGTTTTTATATTGTGATAATTGAACCTCATAATTTTCATAAGTATTATGTCAAAATATATTCTGCATTGCCAGATAGAAGCCATTGCCCTTTACATGTATAAAAAAATCATAAAATTGAAAAGGACATTACATTTTTGGGTACAACCATCTGCTCAATGCTGGAATCCAAACTAAAGTATCCACAATCAATAAATTACTAACCTGTGTTTGAACATATTTAATGAAAGAAATCCCAATAAACTTTTCAGAACTGCTTTATTATAAAGAGTTTTTCCCCCTTTAACATTTAAACTGCCTTCCTGTAAGTTGTCTTCACTAATTTATGTCCTCTACTGTGGAATGAAACAAAGCTAGATTGTTTTCCCTGTGTGGTTTCTTTTTAGATATTTGGAGACTCCTCTCTCAGTCCTCTCAAAGTATATACATGTTGGTTTCTTCCATCTCCTTTCATAGGAATTAGATAATTTGAACTTCTTTATTGCCTGTGTAGGAACTTTCTTCAGTTTGATATGGTCCTTGAAACACCATTTAGGAGTTTTAGCAGAGCAGAATAGAATGAAATAATGATTTCCTGTGATTGGGAAACTCTTCTTCTGTTGACACAGCCTACACTTCCATTTGCATTTTGGCAGCCTTGACACATTGCTGACTCATACTCAATTTATATCAACTCCTTCTCTGAGATGTTTTCTTCAAATATTATTGGAGGCCAGGCATCAACCCCGTTCTATACCTGTACATTTGTTTTCCTTTTCTTAAATGAAGAATTTGGTATTTGCTACTTGCATTCCATTATGTAATTTTCAGATAATTTTTAATCATATCTATTAGACTATAAATTTTCTGGTGTCTTAAAAGATTGAAAAAAACTCCATTAAAATGAATTCTGGATATTGCACTAAAAGATCAAATTCAGATAAATTTATGGAGATTGTGGGCCAGAACAATCTAATATCTCAAAATGTAAACATGTAACTATATAATGTATTATAGTATGTTTACATTTGTTTTGAAATTAAATTCCAAATATTCAGCTATAAGATATGCAGGATACTGTAAATTCTTGTGCTTTGACAAAGAATTTTGCACTGCATGAGCAACGTGATTCACTTCAGGATGTGGAGATGACATGATTTGTCTATAGGAGTTCTGACATGTAGCACTGTAGTAGCAAAAAGAGGTTTCATGTGTTGCAAAGAAATAGTTGGAAATGTTGAATAAGGTGATTGGGGTTTCCAGATGAGGCCTAATAATTCACAATAGTTTTCAGGAGGTGTGGGGGGGGAAACAATGTTTTGTGGAGAAGCTTCAAGGAGACACTTTGCATAAATCATCTAACTGAAGCATTTCTTTAGTTTTGTGGAACTCTTCTGATTATTAATATACCAAAGAGAGAGAAAGAGAAATATAAGAAGGTTCATTATCTTAGAAAACACTTAGACAACTAATTTTATAAAGCCCAACTTTGAGATGATTCTAACAGTTTATAGAAAAAAGAATTTAATCATAAGGCAATTAAGATCAATCGTTCCATTAATCAAATCTATATGGAAAGCATTACCAGTCCCTGCTTTCTCACATAAATATCAAATATGGAACTCTCGGGTGTTTGGGAATGTTATCATCTTTGCTCTTTGCTTCTAAATGCCTTATTTGCTTGTTGTAGCCATACAATGTGATCTATAATTGGTCTCTTGAGTGAAATACAAATACTTCTAAATTTTTGAAACCACCACACAGAGTTAGTTCTCCATAGAAACAGCACAACCAATCACCAGAGTGTGTGTAATACTGAGACATTCACTGTTAAGATCACAGCACAGCCACCCTGAAACAAAGATTAATAAAAAAAATAAAGAAAATACTTTTGCTAAACATGCCTGAACTGCCACAGCCAACTAGAAATGAATTTATGACATAATCCTAGTTTTAAATATGTTTATTTTTCTGGTATTTAATTTTCCACACATAAATTCTTAGGCTATATAGGACAATTTTCTATTTTAATATAGATAGTGTAATTACTTTGTAGGTTTGGAAGCTGTTTTATGTATGCTATTCTTTGTTTTACTTAATTAGGGCTGACCTCCAGTACAGGATGTGGGATTCCTAGCTTCTTAAGAATATTTATGGAAAAGATACTGGAATAGTGGCTGATTACAAACTGAATATGAGTCAGCAGTTTGATGTGGCTGCCAAAAACAAATGCAATTTTAGATTGCATCAACAGAACAAAGTTTTGAAAGGAAGTGAGGTTCCCATTATGCTGATGAGCTGATGCCTGAATATTGTGTTCAGTTCTGGATCCTATTCCTATCCTTTAAGAAGGATTTAGATTAAGAAAGGGGAAAGAAGATGATCAGGGAGCAGTAATGAGATTTACTAAAAGGCTTGGGTTTGTTTACACCAAAGAAGACCAGAGGTAGATTATGATATAGACTTCACATATTTAAAAGGAGAAGAACATCGAGAACTGTTCTCTGGCAGCCCAGAGTGTAGGACGTGTTATAATGTATTTAACCCATAGAAAAGTAATTTCTGATTGAATGTTGAAAAACAACAGTAACAGCAGTTTAGAAAAAGAACCAAAGGTTCAGAGAAACCAGGATCTCTTCTTTTTCACTGAATGTACTCAAATATAAATTTTACTTGCTGCCTATTGGAAGTTCTTTAATTTGGATTCGTGTACTGAGAAGGGGATGGCACCTAGTGGCCAAATGATTTCCTCAAAGTCTATGATTCTATAATTACATTTAGAAGAGATCTTGGATTTCCATTCTTATGTTGACTCTCACATTAAGATTCAGTATTTTTTTTCAAACTCACAATTAAATGCATATCTGTATACCTGGTTGCAACATCCTTCAATGATTAATGCATTTAGTCTGCAATCTCCATCTTAAAATTTAAATCTCCATCTTTAAACTATACATCTCATGATTAAAACAAATGTTCTATTTTATATATTATTTTCTTTAAATTATTTGGTACCATGCCATTTTTTTATATTAGTACTCATTCTGATTAATAAAAAAAAAGTCCTAGCTTTCTGAAGTAACAACACATGGAAGCTGGGATTCAAAATGCATAAGAGGAAAGCTGGATAGAAGGGGTGACTTAAGGTCATTCTGCTGAAATTGCTTCCAGATAGACAAAAAGACTCCTTGAAGACTACTAGGAAGAATGCTAGGAATGAAAGTTGGGAGAAATGAGAGAAATGACACAGAGAGGACTATTGTAGGGAGGACATGGCACAGTCTTGAAGATGACTTGGAAGTTATAAATGGCATGCTGGTTTAGCACACTAACATCTGTATTGTGGGATAAACTGATTACTGTTAGGGCTTTAGGCCTAATTCAAAGAGGTAGTAGTTACATAAAAGTCTGGATGCTCATTATATGTGGCACAATCTTCACCAGGTAGAATCTGCCCAGCCCAAAAAATTGCAGGGACATATTCAGGAAATTACCAGGAGTCAATACTGACTTAAAGATTCAATATATACACTCAATACATTTCAGCTGTGTGTGTGTGTGTGTGTGTGTGTGTGTGTGTGTGTGTGTGCGCGCGCGCGCGCGCATGCATACAGTGGGTGTCACTGTATTCACCCACTATCCAAGAGACATTGGATGGAGGACAGCAGTTCTTTCTTGGTAGGAGTCTCCTCACTTTGTAACATCTCTTCTCCCCAAAACTAGAATTTCAACTTTAGAGAGTGGAATTCTTCTAAGTATTTGATAGGACAAATTTCATATACTACAGGTGAAATTTCAATTGTGATATCATCATCAACAGCCTCTAAGTTGTACTGATGGGAAAATTCATGGGGAAAAAGGTCAGGCAGACATGACCTAGATTCCATGTCATTTCAACATTTTTGAATGTAACTAAGGAGTAATGTTTCATGGTGTTAGTAGTCAACTCCATATAATAAATGAAATGAGCAATCCATGCTATATTATTGTTACAATTTTTTCATGTTCCACAGAGATGGCACAATACTAAAGTTTGTTTGAGATCACAGTATTCAAACTCAAAATAGATGGTTTTTGTGTGAATTTTTTGAAAATCAATCTGGAAGTGCTTTAAAATTTAAGCAGCTCTATTTCAAAAGAAATATGTTTTTTAACATAAAATGAGTAGTTTTACGCTTGGAATATTTACAGGATCTATATAAAATATTACACAACTGTTCAGATTTAAAATCTTGTGCACATCCCACTGGTTTTAAATTCACCTGATAATTAATTGTGAATAAATTTCTTAAATTCATCAACAAGACAACAGCTAGGGTATTTAATATTTGGAAGCAAAAGCCAAGACAATAGTATTTTTATTTAGATATTTTTCAGTAAAATATGTAAATTATGTATATGAAAATATAAATGTAGGTCTTTGGTTATTCGGGTTTTCTCCCACGTAAAATTGGAAGTGTCTTGGCGACGTTTCGACGAAGTCTCATTTGTCATCTTCAGGCTGGTGCTTTTGGCTTCGTGCTTCTAGGAGCATTGCTCCTAGAAGCACGAAGCTGAAAGCACCAGCCTGAAGATGACGAATGAGACTTCGTCGAAACGTCGCCAAGACACTTCCAATTTTACGTGGGAGAAAACCCGAATAACCAAAGACCTACATAAAAACACCCACGAAAACCTCAGAAAATGAAAACATAAATACATATATACATACAAACTTTCAAACATAGGGAGAAAGAGAATTTGTCATGAAACATTTTTTCAGGGCCATATGAGAATAACAATTATCATGTTTAGTAGATTATAACAGATCACATGATTGAGAGTAGCCTTCAATCATTTTATCAATAAGCCAGAATTAATAATGTGTTCCACTATACACCTTTATTTCATTGTCAAAGAATTTGTATTAATAAATTATAGTGTTGCTTAATGAATTGCTGTGAATGCTGTGAATTGCTGACTAGCATCCATGTATGTAGCTGAAATATGTAAAACTAAACAGATAATTATCAAAGAGAGGCTGGGATGAATGAAATTTGCCAACACAACAAACTATATTTTGTTGGAAAGACAGGAATAAAAATAGATATTTTTAAATGTATTCATGAGCTGCCAATGAGTGGATATTTATGTTCATTTATTTATATATTGGCATGTGCATATTCTCAAAAATCTGCTTTAATTTACCACATACTTTAGCATAATTATTTTGGGGTATAGCTTTTTTAAAAAAAGTTTAAATAAGATTTAAAGAGATTCCTCAGCCATGTTGTACAATTTCAGAAATCCCCTCAACTCCGTGATTATTATTTTTTTTTTTTGAGGAATGAATAACTATTAATCAAATTTTGTTTGGAACTTTGATTGCATCTCTTGACTTTTGATTATATCCTGCAGATACCCCTACCTTCTTGTGTTTGCTTTGCTTTGTTGCATATTCTTACTACTAGATTATCCTGCTAAGTGAGAGAAAATAGTGCATTACATTAGTGTTTTAATAACAATCACAGAATGGTTGTAAATTATTTTACAGAAATAAAAAACAAATTCTGGATAATATACCTATTATACATACTGTAGCATATAGTTAAGAGAGATCCTGCTCACAAGCGTGCAGTATTTGAACTTGAAAATAACATTAGAAATAATATCACTAAATATATAGTGGTTTGGCTAAACTGAATCTTGACAGAGAGAAATTATAATCTATATATTACTCGGTTGGAATAAGGATATTCTGTAACTATTTATGTACTTAAAATATAGCAATGCCTCAACTCTTGCCCTAGACCAGGGTTAGGCAACTTTGGCTCTTTTTTTTATGACTCGTGGACTTCAACTCCCAGAATACCTGAGCCAGCCATGCTAGCTCAGGAATTCTGGGAGTTGAAGTCTACGAGTCATAAAAGAGCCAAGGTTGCCTAACCCTGCCCTAGACCATAAAAATATCAAATATGCCTTTCTTTTCCTTGCAGTTTTTGCTTTGTGGAGTATGCGGAATATTTTGTGCCAAAAAAAAGTCAGGACTTATTGTAAGTGTTTTACTAAACTTTTCATAAGTATTCATAAGTGAAATGTAAGCTATGCATATCTTGGACTCTTTATAATATTTCTTCATTTCTGCCATCAGACTCAAAAAGAATTCTCACAAAAAATAGATATGTCTTCATCTAATGAAATGGTCACAGTAATTAGATATATTAAATAAAACAAAGTACTCAGTCTATACTGTTCTTGACATTGTTTCAGCTTTGGATTGATAGCAAAGTCTGGACTGAATCATTCAGTGTTTCTGAACTGTAAGATACACAGATACCTTATAAATTTCTCAGGGGCAAAGATGGACTTATTGAGGCTGTGGAATTTTCTGAGTAAGTAAAACTTCTTACAGGTAGTCCTCTAATTACAACAGAAACTGAGCATGGATTTATAGTCTTAAATTAAATGGATCACCATATAACTGCAGCTGATTTTTTTTTTTTTTGCAGTGGCCATTAAACAAATGTGGTAATCATTAAATGAACATAGTAGTCATTAAGTGAGCCTGTTTTCCCCAATGGGTGTTTTTTTGCTGAAAAATGGAAGTAAACCCTGGAAAGCATTAAAAAAAAAAAGCTTTGATTGTGGGGTATTGCAAACAGCCATAAATATGAGCCAATTGCCAAGTGCTGAAAATACCATCAGATGACTGGAGTCACATCAGAACTTCTAAAACAGGTCATGTGGAAGCCCGTCATAACTTCCAGTGGTCACTAAAGCAATTGGTCATTAAGTGAGGACTACCTGTATATTATATACTCGTCGCAACTACATAGTAGTTGAAATAGGACATAAACAATATATAGGAAAGAAACGCAATAATTTAATATTGATGTTGATTGGGGGAGAGGTACAAAGGGGGATTTGTACCCTCCTTTATCCCTTATTCATCACCCTGCGGTTTCCACTGCTGGCTCATAAAGCAGCAGATCTTTCAAAAGGGTTGTTAATGAAACAAGCCTAAGTAAGAGATTTTAGCAAGCATCTAATAGTGGTAGATTTATTCAGCTTCTCTGATTAATCCATCTTTAATCATTACTGTTCCATATGGCCAGCCAATGCTACTAATAAAATTTAAGCAATCATTAAAAAAAAAAAAAACAAGACACTGGAACTGGTAGAAGAAGCCAGATTTTTTTTTTCTTATCTTTTTCTTTTTCAGGTAGTTCAGAATAGAAAATTTTCCAAATGTACTTGGTTTTGGTTGCTTTGGTGTGATGTACTCCAAATTGCTATTTGGTTAACTAATCCAGTATATTATTTGCCTGAGACTTACTGATATTGAACAGCACAAAGTTCCTAGCAAAGGATATGTTTGACAACAAAAGTCCTCATTTCACCATTAGAGTATGTAAAAAATGTATATATATATATTTGCTGTGATGTTTCCAAACAACAAATCTTGTCTACCAGGAGAACATCGAATGGAAATGAGAAACAATGCCATAATGGCATGCTTTAATCAATCCATATTTCGTAGGCCAGCGTTAAAACAGTGACACTCAATTTTAAACAAAAGAAATATAGTAAACTGAGGTAAACTAGAGTAGACATTGAAAAGTTTACAGCTACTATTCTCATTGTTCAAATGTATTTTTATCAACATGTTTGATTGATTTTTTGGTTGTGGTGGTGGAGTTCAAATAAATATATAATTCAGTTGCTTTTTCATGTGAATTTTTGTTTCCTATCAGATGATACTTTTCTCTGCTTGCTGTATCTGTGGGCTAATTGGAGGAATATTAAACTTCCAGTTTCTTCGAGCTCTAACAAAGAAATCCTCAGCTCTCTATCCATTGCACCTTACCTCCATGTCTCTTGCATGCATTGGAATTGGTGGCTGTACTCTTTCTTCATGGCTAACTTGCCGACTAGCCAGCTATGAACAAAGAAGAATGTTTTCAGAAAGAGAACATTCATTACATCATTCTCACGAAATGGCTGAAAAAGTAAGTTGGCATACTTTTTTATTTGTTATGCTGGGTTATTATATATTTTTTCCTAATATATACAGTCAACTATACAAGAAAATTCTCTGATCAATTTGTAGGTCACTGGAAAATGATACACATCCATATAGTATCAACTATATTACAATTTTAAAAGCCACATTTAGATATTCTAGCTTTTCCAGTACTCATTTCAATAAAATGCATCCACTAACTATATAGCTCCATTGTATAACCATAATGCTTTGCACTAAATATAGAGCTCCTTGGCCTAAATAAGCTAATAGCTGCATAATTGTATATCTGTTTCACTTCCTGCATGAAAATATATTTTATAGTACAGCTGGGTCTTACCAAAGATTAAAATCATGTAACACAATCTGCAGCTACATACAATGAACCTATCATTGGATTTTACCACTTTAGATTGCTGATGGGAGAGCAAAAGATTATGTATCTCTTGATTAGTCTTTGGGCAGGGTTGGATAATCTATCTTTAGTATAGTTAAGAATAAAGAGCTATTTTATTAAAAAATGATTAGGGTGGGACCAAATTTTGCAACTGTTAAGTTTAGCAGATATTTCAGATATTTATTTTTTTCTCGTGTTTTTATTGGAAAGTTGTATATGTATAAGAACTGAAACATTTGAATTACTAAATACCTACATTTTGCTGCTGAATCTCAGAAAAAATATCTGAAGAATGTCTGAGGTGCGTGCAGATTGTGTACTGCCCATCCTTGTCTTACTGAGGAAAGATTTTAACCAAGCCTTTTTTTTTTCTTGGCATGTTAATTTGGTAGCTGTGTTGAACAGGAAGTACAACTTTGTCTAATACTGATATGCACCAAAACATATGCAAATGATTGTGCTTTATTTATAATTTATTTTGTATTAGAGATTAAGGGGTATTGAAATAATCGAACTGCCCAGCTGCCCAGTGATACCCCCAACACCAGAATTACTTCCAAGGTATGCTGAATTCTAGGGAATTATGATGAATTAGAAATGTTGCTTTTGAGAGAAATGCATAAAGCAATCTTACTTTGAGCTTTTTAAGAAAATTCTTAACTTAGATTCCCAGAAATCTTCATCCATATTATAGGAAAGACTTTATTAAAATCATGTAGTAAAATGCTAAAGTTGGAGGTGTGTCACTCAATATATTGAATATACAAATAGCTTGTTTATACATATGCAAATATACACATATTTATGTGTATATTTGCATATGTATATGCATACACATGTGTACTCTCTCTCTTTCTCTACATATATTACTTTTCTAATCAATCCATTTGTCTTAGCTTCATATACTTTGCACTCATAATTGCTATAACAATTTCATCAGTAGGAAAAATTGTTAAAGAATTGGGGTCAGTGGTCAGTAATAACAATGATTTGGGTGTAAATACACAAATTAAATATACTGTGGGTAAGTAATCAATGAAAAAAGCTAGGGTTTGATTGCTAGTAGATAAAAATGATAAAACTACCAATATGAGGTAGGTTATTTGCTTACATAGTTATTATACTTTTTCAATTATCCCATTTTACACTTAGGCTATATTACTCTGTCCCTGCTGTTTGACTGGTCCAAGGTCACCCAGCTTATTTATTTATTTGCACATACACACATACACATATAAAGGCAGATATATTTTAGATAGAAGGAAATCATAAAAGGGAAGAGAGAATGGTCTTGAAGATCGGAGGAAGAGCCACTACCAAAATGCAAATGTTACATAAAAATGGTTCAGGCCCAGACCAATAAAGTAACCTGGGAAAATGTCTCAAATACTGTAATCACTTCTAGTTCACACAAAGATAAAGGGAGGAAGGGGGATATTCAGACTTGAAAGTTTTGTTACTGTAGTTGTTATAATAAAATACTCCTGAACCAACCTAAAAGGCATTTGTTTCTTGGTTTGGACTACATTGTAGGGCTAATACTCTTCAAGTAAACAAGCACCACGATTCCCTGTTTTATATATTGACACAATGACTTGGGTGAATCTGGAACTCTCTTTCAAAGCTCGATTTATTTTATGAGACCGACTTGCATTACCTCCATCCATTACTTCAAAGCTAAAGAATGTGAATTTATGCATCTCATTCTGTTTCCCAGCAGACAGGTGTCTACATCATCACACCCCCACCTCAATCAACATTACCTAGCACCTTATCTGGAAATCCCAGCTGAGTCCAAGGTATGATTATCATCTCTTTTGTCAATGAACATATGGTCCATTTTCTTAAGTTGAGATAAAAATGGAGATGGGATAAACATACAGGAAAAGTAGTTTATGGCAACCATTTTAGATGGTGCTTCTTATAGAAAAAAAGATGTTTCTACATGTGCTACTACTTAGGAATATTAGTTGGTGTATGAATAATAGTTGTGGGCAAGTGTAATACAGCCAGAATAGGGATCACTCCAGGAAGGATTAAAGATCTAGGTATGGCTAGGATCACTTTGAAAAGAAGATGAAATGTAAATATAAGCTGAAGTGAGACGTAACCCAAGATTAAAAAGAAACATAAATGCCTCAATCATGAATGAGTTTGAAGATCATTAAGCGTATTTTACTTGAATGTCTCTTGCAGGCAAACAAGGATGCCTTCATTTTAATATTTTGTGTATGTGCTAGAATGGCTAAGGTCAGTTTGTGAAAAAGATTGTGGTCTGTGCATACTTTATAATTTTCTGGCTGAAGCATGGCTGTCACTAATCTCTCATATGTTTACTATGTCACATCGTATTATAGATATGAAAGCTATAACTAGTTCAATACTGGCCACTGTAAGCAGTTTAAGACTTTTGGGTTGAATAAGGCCAAAGCTTTTCTCATGATATGATTAAACCCAATTTATCATATTGTGCATCAGTTTACTTATAGATTCATTCTTTCATGGAAAATGATCCTTAAAATTAGTGCTTGCATGGGCCAGATGTTAGCTACACAGGTGCACTTTTAAATTTGTGCTAGTGTATTGCAGTAGTATAACTGATTTTGACTACCCATTTCAATTCTCGCAGGAAATGACAGATAACATATGTAACGGAGGACCACATCTAATTAATAATGGAGGAACATACTGAAATATTTACAATATTTAAAGAACAACTATGTTTATGATTTTCTTCAAGAGAAAATACAGAAGCCAATAGCTTGGAGATAAGGTCCTAAAACATTATGGCTCTAAGTTGCAATAATTTTACAACTTCAAAACAACAACAGCACAGTCACATTTTCTTTCAGAGATTTGCTTTGATTCCCATTAACTGAAGATACATAATTGCACATTTTGAAGATAAGTATTATCACATTTGATTTCTTTTGTCTGAGTATTTATAATGGTGTGATAATATATGAAACAGACTTTTCAGATTTTACTCAGATTTTTTTAGGAATTACATTTTGGTTTGAAAAAAAATCCCACTGCTATAAAAATAAGGGGGTTTAAATATTGAATTGCACACCAACATGAAAAGAATTTGGACATGAAAATGTTGTCTTTCCTATGTAAAGTATAATGAATGAATTATGAGCATGTTGCTCTCCACACTGCTGTCTAAGTTTTGAAAAATGGGAAATTTTAAGGATGCTATGAGGTCAAACAATGCTTTGCTATAAAAAAATCATTTTTTCCAATTTATGAGGTATATTTCCTAATTTGTTCATAAAGATGTGAAATAAAATGAAACATAGGAATGGGATTATTTTTTTTAATCATCCTAACAATTTTTACAATGATCCACAAATCCAAGTGAGAAACAAGGGTGAGTTGTAATTCTCAAACACGTTTAAGGCAAGTATTCAGAAAACTTTCAGATCTTGTTTATTTAACCACAGTTCATATATTATTGTTGCTTTACTGTATTTGCATCTCTTAGCAGATGAAAGTTTGTCACCTATATAATGCATTAAAAATAAATATAATATAGTCTATTATTATTATATAATCATAATACTAATAGCACTATAAAGTATTATTCCTTCTCCCATAATCCACTGAGATACCCACCAATCACAGTCATACAAAAGTATTGAACTTTTTAATCTACATATGTTCTTATAAATATATACAATTCAAATAATTTTTCTTCTTTTAATATCTAACATGCATACATACATTGCATTAAGAAATAATATAAGAAGTAAATATGTCTTTACATAAATAACTAGATATATTTACCTTACAAACACTGATGACACAAATATTCAGAAGAAGGATGATATAAACTTTGAACCTCAACTCAATGGTAAGACTGTTCAAGATGCCAACTAAGAAACTATCAACAGTAATTATGAAGCTATGAAATGCTTGTCAAAGATGACACACCACAACATTTTGGGTGACACTTCAGCATCTACCAACAATATCCAACAACTACTCTTGAAAACATGCTCTATTCTCATGTGATTTTTGGTGGTTGTAGAAGCGCTTGAGGATGAGTTGTGCTCTTAAGTGGCCTCTGAGTTCTCTGGAAGTCATTTTTATGTAGCCTCTAGAGCCTCTGAAAATCAAATGAGAATGTGCATGCTTTTGCAGTTTTCAGAGGCCGCACAATGTTCTAAATTAGAAAAATCCTCCATATTTCTCATAGGCGATTGCTCCAGAATCCAAGCCCGGCCTCCATGCCCCAAACTGCAAAGATCCAGGATTTCTTCCATTTTTCTGCTGGTTGGGTCGGACGTCATCCAGTTTTATGGAGTTCTGTCATCCTTCCAGCTTAGTTACTGCAGAGGCTTCCTATCCCAGCATCACTTCTGCTACATTGGGGAACAATTGTCCTATAAACAATGCCTGGAATACTTGAAATTGCTTATGGAGAGAAGATGATCTGACCTACATGCAGTTTGTGAATTGCAGTGGCATGATAGCTGTTACTGTTGGGGACACACAAATCTTACTATGTATATGTCTGTAGAAGCAGGATAAGGGCCAAGGACAATAAACTTAGTATAATGAAATTACTTTTTCAGACATTGCTGCCAAGTTCATAGAATATAGATAAGTAGGCAAAGAACTTTGTAATTCATCTGGGTTTAGCATAGAGACTTTTGGAAATGCTAAATTAGAAGCTGCCAAAAATAATGTTCATGTGACACTCTTTCATTAAATTTAGATGTGTCAGTGTTTCATACATATATTGTTGGAATTGTATTGAGTAGCTTCCCCATGTCTAGAAACATAATATTATCTTCTCCTTTATTAGAAATACTAAGCATATTTTAGTGACATAGTAAGTATAATCTAAACTGTGATGATAAAGGGAAGCAAGAAAACCAACTAACCAAGTTCCTTGTTTTCATTTCCCCTTCAATGGTCTCTATGCTTGCTACTGTTTTTCCAACTTGCATCAACTGCAATATGCCCTTATCATTTGTTGATATCTTCTATAGACTTTCTCCATTTCTTATCAGTAAGGCATGAAGTGAAAACAGGAATAGATCTCACGCAATTTCTTCTCCATATCGGTCATGCTTTAATTAAAGAAAGAGTAAGCAATCTCTTTGCTGCAGAACAAGTTGCCTCTTTTTCTATATGTAGCTTTTTGTGATGCATGCCTTTTCATATGCAACCAAATAAACACATCTTTATACATTTTTGGAACTGACTACATTGGGCATTTACCTGAATTTTGCAATCTGAGCAATACATTTAAAAATAATTTGATTTATTGATCAAATAAATTCCTTCTCTCACTTTAGATTTTTTTAAAAAATCAAAGGATTAAGTTAAACCACAAATGTTTTGTTTATATACTTTCAGCGTCACTCCTTAAAGCTATTATAAACTTATGGCTAATATTAATTTAATTTAATTTAAATTAATTTATATTAAATGATATACATAATTCAGCAAACTGTAGAGATGGCACAAACTTTTTCATACCTTTAATCTAACTTTTATTTAGATTCTTCTCTACTTTGACTAAGTTCTAGTCAAAATAATAAAATTACTTCAGTCTATCGAGTCCTTTGTGTAATTTTTTTTTCACTCAGCACAGTTCCTCAGTTTCTTTTCTCCTTAGAATCTGACTTTTCTGCCACTGTCTGTCTGATTTTCTTTTCCAATTTCTGCAGCTTCACTTTGACACTTACACTCTTCCAGCTCTCCCTGCTGGAATTTGGGCAACCAGAAGGAAGTGGAATATAACTAGTTAATTTTAAATGCTGGACTTAATTGTCTTAGGTAGTATCTCTGTACAGATGCTGTTTTGTGGCAGAAATTTAAAAAATGTGTTTAAGCATAAATAGTTACATGAACATCTATAATTAGCAAATTATACTGATGAATATGCCTGGTACACTCCTAACTAGAAGTTTATCAAGAAGTAAGGGTGTTGCATCAATCACTGTTAACTTGTGGTTGAGGCAACATTGACATTGGCCTCTTAGAGTACTCATCTGAGATATTCTTGGTTTCAGAGCCCTAGACTTTGACCTTGAGGTCCAGCCATGAAGTTACCATTGTTAGAATGACCTGTACAATAGCTATCACCATGGGATGCCTACAAAGCAATGGTGAATTTGACCTCATTTGCTGTATTTATTCAAGCAAAAGCCATCAAGGATGTTAAAATAGAACAAATAACAGCACAGCTATTTTCCTTCTGGTCTGCTTGGGGCACTACTTTCTAGATAATTGGTTTCACTCTTAAGCTTTAATAATAGTTTTGAATAGGAAGATCTGATTATTTTGCATACGAGACAGAAAATCCCACATTTTTAAAACTATCGCTGTAATAACAAGGTGTTTAGTAACAAATCAATAAGTTTGAATTTAAAATGTTTTATATAATACTTATCAATTATTTTATTTGTTAAACTGTTTAATGTTAACTTTGGATTTTATTTGTACTTTGCTTATTTGGGTCTTTATAAAATAAATCTAAATGAATAAAACTAATAGAAAGATCTTTGTAATAGCCATGCAATTTATTTTACATATATCAGAAATTCCCACAAACACCTCCCAACCCTGGACTAAGGAGGATAAGAAAGTAAATAATTCATCTATAGCTACTCTTTCCCAAAACTTGCTGCCCAAGATGGACATAGCTTTAATTGCAGAGCCACACATATGAGGTACCCTGATTGGCTCATTGTGAGATGTTATTGAGAAAGATTACAACAGGATCCCGCATGATTCTTATGCTTTAATGATTGCTTAATTTTAGGAATATGTGATATTTGACAATTTTGTGAAGCACTCAAAACTGGAAGAAGCTGGATAAAAAGACTTTATATAATTTTAAAAAGGCTATAAAGTTAACTTTTAATTGTGTGGATTGGACCCAAATTGTTGATTACTATTCTAGTCACAGGTAGTCTACAAAAGGCTTAATCAAATAAGTTTCAATGTGTCAGAATGATCTTAAAAATTCTCATCCTGGTGTATATTAACATTTAGACAAGCTATAGAATATTTATGCCTAATGACTGATGGAAAATGAGTTATGTATTTTCACGAGGCAAGATGGTTTAAATTTTAACCATCAGATTTCAGATTATGAGGAACAAATTGGTGTATGTGATTTATGCTTAAAATTTTACATTGACATGTCCTGAATACATATTTATGGCATTAAGATGAATTAGCAGAAACTAAATCAGTACATGATTTTCACAAAGCAGTTCATTAATTTATACCTACAGTATGCACCTTCAGAGGCTTGGATTTTTCCTTAAAAAGTTATTTCTGAGCTGTCAAACTATCAAGAATTGAAATGCAATTGGATACTGACTAACACATTTTATAATATCTTGGTTGGGCAAGTTTTCAATTTTTAGATGACACATTTTAACTATTGTTTCCCTAATAGTTGTATCATCATATGACAGATGGGAGTTTGAACAGAATTTATTTTGGGGAATTTCTGACTTATGTGCAAAATAAATTGCATGGCTATTACAAAGATTTTAAAGGAAATTCCAGGCCTCTGGATAACTCATTTTCCATTAGAGGCTGCTTTCATCTACTTATCCCAGCTAAAGATCCATTGTTAAAAGGAAATTCTATTGTCTTCCTTTCAAGAATACAGTGTAAAGAAAAGCTTTATGTCAATTTCAGATTCAGTCTAACCATTTTCACTTTTCTAGGTCTTTTCTTTAGGCATTGAATGAGGCAGAGCGTTGAAACAGCAACAAGTTTATTAACTCAGAACAGAAGCAGCCCTAAAGACTGCTGCACAGCTATTTATACAGTCAGCCTCTAGGTGGCAATCAATAGGTTTAAACTTTAAAGTAACAGTTTCCCACCCCAAACCTCTTTATCAGTTTGGAGACAGCCAGTCTGGCTTTCAGTAACAGCAACTATTAAACAATACAGCAATGTAGGTCAGACATTAAGCAAGTGATTTAAAACAGTTATGGCCAATACATTACAATGACAAAGGATTTCTTCCTGTTTACAAATGGAAGAAACAAATTAGAGGCCTGCAATGGAGTTTAGATCCATAAGTGCTATCAAATCAGAGCTTCTCTATAGATACAGATAATAATACCATGAAGTTAAGAAAAATGATAGATTTATTTTATCAGTGCATTTCTTTTCATTCCTAAAGTTTGCCTGTATAGTCAGCATCTCTATTTACTTATTTACTTATGCATTTTTTTCATCACAATAACTACACTAGTAAAGATATGATTCACATTTAATGTGGCTTATTTGGCAAGCATTTGAAATAAACCAGTTGTGATTTACTTAACAAACTATGGCTTAATGTTATACATATGTATCCATTTCTGTGGAACATTATCTCTGCAGACATAAAACTAATTCTTACCTTAATAGTTTTTTCAAAGGCCCTGAAGATATGTGGTTTTGCCAGGGGACTTGGGGATCTCAGAGTGATCTGGAGCCCATCAAGTGGTTTATTTGATTGTGGTTGCCAGGAGGTAGGAGCTCACTGATTTTTGTAGTTGGGTTTTATTTTTGTAAGCTGTCAGTAGTCACTGTAAGTGAATTGTTGTTGTTGTTATTATTATTATTTTCATATTCAGTTCAATTCACAATCTTGGAGTGGTAAAAACTTAACAAGTTCTAAGCAAGCATCTAAGAGCTGTTAAGGTATCTGAGTATATAGGCAATTCCAAGTAAGGTGTTTTTTTGCAAAGAATATTCAGGTCTGATAAGTTCAAAATTTCCATGTATCTAGACAACCCTTTGGGGATTGCTCCAAGAGCTCCTATTACTATTGGTACAACCATTGATTTCTTCCTCCACAATCACTCAACTTCAATTTGCAGATCGTGGTATTTTGCTTTTTTTCTAGTTTTTTCTCTTCAATTCGTGCATCACCTGGTATTGCAATATCGATAAACTGGACTTTTTTCTTTTCCACAATAGTGATTAAATAATAATGATGATGACGATGATGATGATGTCAAAGTGATGATGGTAGTTTAACAATAATTAAAATAATGGAAGGATGAATTACAGATGATTCCTACAGATAGGAAGCGAGAATGATAATTGATAGCAAAACTCAAAATTGTTTCTTATCCATTGTGTCTGTGGATAAAACAACTAATAAGATGACAAATTGCTTTTCAAAGGAATGAACAAGCAACTAAAAAGGCAACCATTTATTTATACCTTGCTCTGAGAAGCCATTTCACCAAGGTAGGCATTATGGATGAGTAACAGTACATACGAGCTCTGTAGACCAGGGCTTTTCAACCAGTGATACGCATACCACTGGTGGTACTTCGGCACCTAGCAGGTGGTATGCACACAATGGGTTGAAAAGCACTGTAAAAAAAGTGTTAAAAAAGTGTAAAAATGGATGAGGTGAAGCAGCGGCAATGCCGCACAGGCTTCTGGGAAAGTAAGCTGGAGCTGCACAAGGTGTTGCCTGGGTTTTGCTGAGAGCCCAGGATCAGTGCACCCAACTCCAGCTGATCGGTGGTGGCCTTGGGGGGGTGATAGGCAGCCGCATGCAGTCTTCGGGCCAAGATTCATTTGGAGCTGTGCAAGGTGTTCCCAGGACTCTGCTTCCAGCGCACCTGGAAGAGAAAAGGAAGAGTGGGAGAGAGAAGAGAGGTTATAAAAGGAACAGGTTTTGGAGTGGGAGGGAGAGAAAAAAAGACAATGGGGGAAAGAGAAGGGGATGGCAAAAGAAAGATGGAGAAGTGCAGCCTTGAAGAGAGCAGTCAGCTGGAGGTGCACCAAAGAGAAAGGGGGGGAGACGATATAAAAGAAGGGGGGAGAGAAGATAGGATATAAAAGAAAGAGGGGAGAGAAGAGAGGATATAAAAGAAAGAGGGGAGAGGATATAAAAGAAGGAGGGGAGAGAAGAGAGGATATAAAAGGGGAGAGAAGACGATATAAAAGAAGGAGGGGAGAGAATAGGATATAAAACGAGGGGAGAGAAGAGAGGATATAAAAGAAGGAGGGGGAGAGAAGAGAGGATATAAAAGATGGAGAAGAGGATATAAAAGGAGAGGGAGAGAAGATATAAAAAAGGAGGGGGAGAGAAGAGGATATAAAAGAAGGGGAGAGAGAAGAAAGGATATAAAATAAGGGGGAGAGAAGAGAGGATATAAAAGGAGGGGTGAGAAATTTGTTAACTGAGTTTTACCCATTTTATGATTTTTCTTGCCACATTTGTTAAATGAATCACTGCAGTTGTTAAATCTGGTTTCCTCATTGAGTTTGCTTGTCAAAAGATTGCAAAAGAGGATCACATGACCTTGGGACAATGTGACCATCATAAATATCAATCAATTGCCAAGCATCCGAATGTAAATCACATGACC